GTTCCCATGAAGTGGAGCTGGCTAATCCTTTAGACTGTGTGCTACACTGGTTTGTGTCTTCTATTAATCTGCTGACACTGGTTTGTGTCTTCTTGTATCTTAGATTAATCTTCTAATGACTCCTTTACTATATTGTTATATCTTCTATACTTCCTCTCATGCTTCTAATGACTCCTTATGAGTCCTCCTAACTAGTTATACTGTGTAAGCTGTGTAATGCTTTTCCCATGAAGTAGAGCTCTCTATTGTTCTTATGACTCTGTCTGACTTGACCTGTACTTTCTGTACACTGGTTTGTAATACACTTTCTCATAAGGTGGAGTATTATGACTTCTAATGACTCCTTATGACTTCTGTAATATAAAAGGCTGTACTTCTGTACTACCCCTAGAACTTACAACCAAAGTTCTAGACTGTCTTGTGTACACTCTAGAACTGACAACTAATGTTCTAGATCTTTCCCTAAGTCTTCTTTAATAGACTTAGTTTAGGAGACAATTATCCTTATTAACTTCTAGCCTTATCTTTATGCTTCTGTATTCAATCATAGAACTTACAACCAAAGTTCTAGATTGTCTCATGTATTCCTCATGTTGTCCTCATGTAGTCCTTATGTTTATGACTTCATTACTTTCCCATCTATATGGGCAAAGTGTATAAAGGAGACTACTTTCTTATAGTCTCTCCTTAGAGCTCTCAGTTCCCTTTCCTTCACTAGTACTAGTCTTCCTTAAGTATAGAGCTTCAGAGTATTGGCTCTAGCTCTTTCCTAGCTTTAATGGTCCTTTGTCTTTGTACAAAGTGTTCCTAGCTAGTTATGTAAGTAAGTATAATATTTTCCTTTTATCTCTTCAGGTTTTCTCCTAGTCTTTTCCTTTATACTTCTTACTCTGGACACTATACTCTTTCCAGATCCTCTCTCCATACAAGCATTCTAAATGACTTGTCTTTAGTTGAGGTTATTAAGTAATGCTGTGCTAGAGTATGTGTTTAACCTTAGAGAGATAAAGACCTTGTCCTCAGGTTTTATTACCTTTTCCTAACTGACTTAGTACCTACTCCTTCCTGTCCCCTCTCTCTGCTGATGGATTAATCACCCATTAGTAATGATTAGAGGTTAATAATGCTGAGCTGGAGTTCTTACTAAGTAGGACAACAAAGGTAGCCTAGTTGATCTGGCCAATCTCTAAACTTGTGACCAATAGGGTTTTGTATATAAACTACTTAGTCCCAAGTCTTGAGTTAAGCTTTTCCAAACTTAGTTACTGTATTTTACAATTCCTAACATCTTGTGTTAAAAGATCAGAATTTATTTATTTTAAGAAGAAAGGTGAAAACAGGCTAATTGAGAAAATACTTAAAATTCCTAATACAAAATGTGACTCCTTCTATAACACAATTGCAATTTAAAAATACTAGAATGTATTATACTTTAGTATATATGAAAATACAAAAATTAAGCTAATTTTATTAAGATTTGCACTTATAAATTTAGAAAAGTACAAATTACCACTTATTTAATTATATAACTATATATTACAATAATAGGAGAGAAAGATACACTCACTATCAAGTATTATATAGTTAATATTAGATCTAACAATATCTTACACTTATATAATAGTTTAATACATATAGTTTATAGTCTTTATAATTTAAAAATATTACAAGGTAGATTATTTGTGTGTATATTATAGGAAAATGAGTGTTACAAGGAGTAGTAACATACTCATTTGGGCACAAAACATTAATCCCTTATATTTAATTTGTACATGAATAGACATTACAATAATGTAAGGAATTTGTCCATTAGTCTACTAAATTCTGTAAAATTGCACATTTCTCAATTTTTTTAAAAAAAACTTGAAATGATTAGACTAGGATATCATTTATAAAGTTAGTTGACAGATGATTAATTGTGTGTATTTTATAACATTGTTTGATCAAATACTCCAAATGTGTAACTTATTACTCTACAATATTAATATATTGTAGACTACTTTGCCCATGACAATCTGATGTCATTCTGATGTTATAATCATACCTTTACAAGTAATCCACTTTGTCAGGCCAATAATTATTAGGTCCACTCACAGACCATTTTTTGCATTGCCCTATAGTTGTTGTCCCTCACTAATATTCTCTGAGTACAGGAAACTATTGGTCCACAATGTCCTTCCCTATTAGAATCAAAGAAACAGAGAATACAACAGCAATCCAGTACAAAACAATACTTACATTAGAAGACTTGAAGCCCTTGTTCCAACATGAGCAAGATCTGCCTGTGTTCTGTAACAAGTGGTTATGGGCAAAAGATCAAAGTAAGCAAGACATACCACGAAAGTTTGAATGCATACATGAACTTGGGAAGGGTGCTTATGCCACTGCCTTTGTATGCTGTACTTCTTGTCCACTACTTGGCTGGTTTTCCAGCAATTGACTGTATATTACAAAAAGGTTATGAAACGAGAGGACCTTGTGAAAGGTGAAACAAGACTGTTTGTTGCAAAAGTGATTAATAAGCATAAAGACCATAAGGGAAACCCTAGATCAACACAGGACATAAGAGATCTTGCAGAAGAAGTGAAGAATGAAGCAAGAATACTAGTAAAAATGCAACATAAGAATGTGGTACATTGCATATCAGGTAAAGGCAGTATATGTGCAGCTGACCATGATTAAAAGATAAAGTATTATGGAGCGTTTGAGAACGACAGGGAATGGGTACTAGTATTCGACTATGCAGAAGGCAGCAATCTCTTTGGCAGACTAATGCAAGTTTATTGTTTCAGCAAGGAAATTTCTGTTCACTATATAAGGTGTGATAGTATTATTTACTGCTGGCCAGATAGTACTGTGCTGAAGTTTAGATAAAGACAGATGGTGGAAGCAGTTGCCTATCTCCATTCAATGAATATTGTTCACAGGGACCTAAAGTGAGACTGGATCTACAATAGAATAACACTGTTTGTGTACTAGCACTGACATATTGTCAGACCTGATAACTTCTATATAAAGAAAGCATTTGACGAAAATACTCCCTGTACTGAGGATCGTCTTCTACTTGGAGACTTTGGATAGTATGTAACGTTCTATTTCATATAAGTTATATAAACAACAATCCAAACCTCTTTCAGTACACTTCAGGTTAAAAAGGATACAATATTGAACTGGCTGTGTAGAACTCCAAATTATGTAGCACCTGAAGTATACAGAATGAATAAGAAAATTTATAAACAGTATTCAATAGCAGTTGACATCTGGTTGT